GATCGTGAGAAAACATCGACAAACCCAACTTGATGGACGTTCTTCAGAATATTCAACCGGTATTCAAAACTTTCAAGGTCAGGCAAAGTGAGGACAGACTGAGAAACTGTCACTATGGACACGTGACAGCTAAAGGCAACATGGCAGCGTGCACAGGATTCTGGAACAGAGAAAGGACCATAATCAAAAACTGCTGAAATCTAAATAAAGTTTATAGTGTAATAGTGTTGTACCAGCATTCATGTCCTAGTTTTGGTAAAAGCATCATAGCTGTGCAATGTATTCACATCTAGGGAAACTGGGAGAAGGGTATTGAGGAACTCTCTGTACCACCTTAAGACTCTTCTGTAGATCTAAAATTATTTCAAAATAAAAAGGTTTTTTGAATGGGAAAGTCATGTTCTATTGTTCAGGGCCCAGCCACACTCCTTCCTCCAGGAAGCTTTCCCCGATCTCCCCTGTCCACTGGGCTTGCTGTTCCTCAGCCTGCCCCCAGCCCCACAGCCTGCCCCCTCTGCCACTCTTGGGGCCCCAAGCATGTAAGACCTAAAGGGCTCCACTTCTTTTTTGGGATTAGAGGAACCTTCCAAAGCACACTGCGAGCTTCCAGACAGCAGGGGCTGACTCTCACGTCTTGGAGACCTTCAGAATCTGTGCCTTCCATGGGAGAGTGGAACTGAGGGCCCCCAGGAGGCAGGCTTGGGCCCAGCTGGGAGCTATGGGGGTCATTAGGGGAGAGCACTGGATGAAATCCTTGCCCACAGAGCTTCTTACCTCCACTGGTTTATTCTGGGGGCTGGGCAGAGGTCTCTCATGGAAAATGAAGTTAGACCCAGGAGACAGCTCACTGGATTTGCTCACTAGACTCTCATGGACGATAAGAGGGTTATCCGAGATGCCATCCTATATGGGGGACACCTGGGCAAAGATGACAGTGAGTGCCTGAGCCCTGAGTGCAGAACCACCAAGAACTAAGGCACTAGGTGCCCTGGCACTTTTGCTGTGGGACCCCTCCACCACTTGTCCAAACCCCAGACAACCCATCTACACTGAGGGCAGCAGGGGCTGTTTCTGGACTCTGAGCAGGGCATGGGGACCCGTGTGCTGCAGGAGGGCCTACAGCACTACCGGAGGCAGCAGCTGCCCTAGAGGGTCCCTGCCCCCCCAATCAGGAGCTCTGCTTGGGCTCACATTGGCCAAGGACAGCAGCCAAGTCTACCTATGGTCAAGTGGTTCCTCCTCATTGACCACTGATGGGGAGCCAAGGCCCAGGACCAGTTAGCATAGGCCCCCTGCGAGGCTCTGGTGGAAGGTCAGGTGACAGGTGGGGCAGTGTGAGGACAGGTAAGGGCCATGGAGAGGCTGACACCCATAATCTGCCCCAGGCTACTCTTCTTGCCCTCCAGTCACCCCTCTGGGACGTCTCTTCCAGACCCATGACTTTGGTTATGACTCACAAATGCAGATCTCAGAGAGGTTCTTCCTCCTCCAGATCCATTTATCCCTCCAGCCCCTGGAACTTTCCCCTGAATATCCCAAGTGTGCCTGCAGCTCCAGCCCCAAAACTCAGCCTCTCTCCTCACACCTATTCTTCCAGTTCCCCTTCTCCCTTCCATGACTGGCAGCCAACATCCATTGTCATCCTTGGCTCTCCCTCACCTCACCCCCACATCCATCCCTCACCAATCCTACCTCCTTAATCTATCACCACCTCCCTAGTCCAAGGCAGGCCCACGGGAAGTGATCAGTGAAAGTTGTGGTAGGGATGGATGGATCAATGAAGGGAATGTGGATTGGTGGTTGGATAGCTGGGTGGAGGATGGATGGATGGATGGATGGATGGCGGATGGATGGATGGATGGTGGATGGACGGACGGACAGACGGACGGATGGATGGATGGGTGGATGGATGGATGGATAGGTGGGTTGGTGGGTGGGTGGATGGATGGATGGATGGATGGGTGGATGGATGGATAGATGGATGGATGGATGGACAGACAAGACCAATGGGTGGACGGATGGATGGACA